CAGAAGCATTTGACAGGAATGCTTTATATATCATGTTAGCAAGTACATCGGAACATAAAGCTCAATCTCCAAAGAAGGAGGAGAAACCCATGTTGGTAGAACATCAAGTTAACATACAGGATTTACCTGTTTAAACACCTTTTACCTAAGCAGGTGTGATCTCTGCATTCGAAGAAGACATTCTCACATGCACACAGACAGATCAAATATTTCACTCCGAAAAACATCATACTTTATTTTTTACGTTTACTTAAAATATGATTCATAAATAATTTATAAAAGTTTCCAGCCTGACCCGTTTCTCTGCCTTTTGTGCAGCAACTGAGACTGTATCATGACCTCTGTGTTTATCCATCATACACAGCAGACAGACACACTGCTGGTCGGTACGGCAGTAGACCTCTAGCGGTCTGTCATGGTGGGAACAGATCTTGTCTTGCCGACGTCCAGTGGCATCAGTCAGCTTGTGCTTCTTAAAAGCTGGAGACTCATAGTGAGGCTGGAGATGAGTTTCACAGTAAGAGGCCTGACACACCAGGCAGGACTTGACAGCTTTGTGTTTTCTCCCAGTACAGACGTCACACTCCACATCTCCAGGTCCAGCATAATGGTCAGCAGGAGTAGCTGCTTGTAGTCCAGTCTTCTTCAGATTCCTCACCACTTCAGCCAGCATGGTGTTTCTGCCCAGAACAGGTCTGGGTGTGAAGGTCTGTCTGCACTGGGGGCAGCTGTAAACTCCAGCATGATCCTCCTGATCCCAGCAGCTCTTAATGCAGCTCATACAGTAACTGTGTCCACAGGGAATAGTCACTGGATCTTGCAGTAGATCTAGACAGATTGGACAGCTGAACTGGTTCTGATCCAGAGCTGAACTGGCTTCTGCCATTTTACCACAAACACTGATAAGATTCAGTTCAGATTTCCCTCACAGTTATCTATGTGTGAAAGTGGGAGGAACTTCCTGCTTCTCAGGCTGCAGTAGGTGTGGTTTTAGACTGAGACCAGACTGAGAAGAGCAGACTGGGCAAACGCTAGATTTGGAGTTTATGAATAAAATAGTACATTATACAAACTATACACATTTATTTAACTTTTATGAGTATAACTGATACTGACATTGTTTTTCCGCAAACCAGTTATAATGCTAATATTTGATTTTGTGGATAGAAATTAGATAGATAGGTAGAACACAGCAGCTCTATTGAGAATGAATTTCTGTGTCTGTTTAGAAGTTTGCATTTCTTTTTCTCCAGATTTACCGCAAAAAAAAAAAAAGCTGATGGGATTTGAAGCTGTCATGTGTTATCAGGTATGACAGAGATGTGCAACAGTGTTAATTTTGGCAAAAAATTTTATTTAGTTTTAGTCTTAGTCACTTACTGAAAATTGTAGTTGGATTAAAGTCACACTTTAGACTTTTATTTTTGTTTTGTTTTCGTTAAGATTTTGTCAGTGGCTTAATTTTACTCTGATTTTAGTCATAATTTTCCCAGACAGGTTAATGATACGGAAATGGATTTTGCTGAAGGATATTTCTCTTGGCTGTATAAATTCCATTGAGAAGTAAGAATACCTTATACATAAGTATACCTTATACGTAAGCATACCTTGTACGTAAGCATACCTTTTACATAAGCATACTTTAAACATAAGCATACCTTATACATAAGCATACCTTAAACATAAGCATACCTTAAATATATGCATACCTTATACATAAGCATACCTTAAACATAAGCATACCTTATACGTAAGCATACCTTGTACGTAAGCATACCTTTTACATAAGCATACCTTAAACATAAGCATACCTTATACGTAAGCATACCTTATACGTAAGCATATGCCCTATGATGCTTAGTCATCTAGGCTGGGAATGTTACTGATTTACTATCACATGACATCCCCTAAATCTATGAAGGTAAAACAGTAGCAAAACTCGAGAGCTTGCTAATTTGAATGTGAGAACTTGTAAAATTAATATTTGTATTTGTAAGTTGAAATTTATACTCACAGCTCTGATGTGAAAAGCTGTATCTATCGATTTGCACACACAGACAATACTCAGAACACCTGTGTTTTGAA